GTCGGTTTTATTTATGGCATTCTCGCTTAGGTCATTTGTTTGTTGACCGCTTGCGGTCTTTAGCTCAGTCAGGATTGTTAGGTAAAGTTTCTCCTAGTCAACTTAATGAGTGTCGCGGATGTAAACTTGCTAAAATGACAACTGAGCTCTTTTGTCAATACACAAGTTGAATATACAGATTATTCAGAAACTCTTACATGGTATTAGAGCCTGGTTTGAAACCCAAGCTTGCAGAATCGAAACCCTAGTTGCCGTAGTGGGTTTGCTCCATCTGGTTCTTCGTCTGACTCAAAGGTTTCGTCTAGTTCGAAGACTCTTCGACCATCTGGTTCTTCGTTTGGTTCATCAACTCCTGGTCGCACGGTTTGTCGATCGCAACCCCTGGTTCGTCTGGTTCGTTGATTGCACCCCATCTGCCATCATGCTTTTCTCTCTCTATCTCTGTGGTTTGGTTTTCGATCGCAACCCTTGGTTCGTCTGGTTTGTCGATCGCACCCTATCTGCTGTGCATCGCAACTCTCTCAGTTCATCTCGGCACTTCATCACACCTTTCTCTCTCTGTCTCTGTGGTTTGGTTTTGACCCCTAGTTCACTCTCTATCTTTGTCTCTGTGTTTTGATTATCAGTACTGATTATTTGATTTAAAAAAAAAAACCCTTATTTCCAGTTTTATTATATTTCGACCTGTTTCTCTTTGATTTATTACAATGACGGATACCAAAACTCAAGCCATCAGATGTAAACTCACTGGTACCAATTATGTTTATTGGGCTAGTGTTATGAAGAATTCTCTTCTTGGCCAGAAAAAATGGGGCTATGTTTCTAGTTCTATTCTTCCTTCATTGGACCTGAAAGAAGAAAGATATCTAACTTCCCGTGACACTTGGAATTGTGATAATGCCCAAGTTCTGACCTGGTTTCATAATTCTGTGGATGACCGTATTGAAATGATGTTTTCCAAATACAGTACTGCTAAGGAGGTGTGGGACTATTTATTAGGTGTGTATCAACAATCTAACTTCGCCAAACGGTATGAGTTGAAAATAGTTATTTAGAGTGCTCGTCAGCAGGATCAATCTATTCATGATTTTTATATTGAGATGACAGGTCTCTGGGTTTAATTGGCTCTTATGGAATCATTTAGCCTCAAGGCACTAGATGCTTATATTGAGTTTCGAGAGCAAGGTCGTTTAGTGTAGTTTTTAACGGCTTTTTCCCTCCCAGTATGAAGCTATCCGTGGTGGAATCCTTCATTGGTCTCCTCTCCCCTTTGTGGATGCTATTGTTCGTGAGCTTCTCTCCGAGGATACCCGCCTTAAAATGGCTAGTCAGACTCTGTCTCCATTTGTCTTCTTGGCTCCTACTCAGCATCCTTTGTTGTCAGCCCCACCATC